AGCTGTTCCTTCTTAGAAATTCAGCCATTAATCAATAGTATAATTAAACACACTGGAAAAGAAGGGGGCTCAGCTGGGCCCAAGCTCCAGAGCACAATACAGACACAGTTTAGGTGGATGCAGGGAAGGAGAAGGAACTGCAGCATCTCCCAGCAAATCCATCAAAAGCTGACACGGCCTCAGTCCTAAAGGATTTACACAAGAGGCAAATGGCATGCAAGGATAAGGATTTTTAGTCAGCTGACAGGTTGGTCAGGGCACACTCCCTTTGTGCCTTAGGTACATATCTGCTTCTGAACATCACTAGCTCCAGCAACCCTATTTATTAGCAGAAAGCCATACAGGGGGTTCAAAACTATCACTGGTCTGAGAAATACCACAGAAGGCTTGGAAAGTATTTTCAAGTAGCTGCTCCAGCTACCTGTACAAATATGTAGGTCCTCTTTTGTTGCTGTAATATTACAATGCTTTGTTAATTGTACATTAATGTTGTCATTTATGTAAATGTACCAGGATTTTATTAACAATGTAATTTTAAAATACACAGTTGCTGTTATTTATTCTGCTCTTCTAACAATGAGAAAAAACATCCCTGTATTTATACACACCCAGTGGAAAAGGCTGTTGCAGTTTAAGCATCTTAAATTTATATATATACATATTATTATACACATGATTACTCGTATTTTAACTTGGCTGAAATCAAGAGGTCTTTTATTTATGGGGCTTCTTAAGGTATTTTCTTCACCATTTGTGTTCTCACAGCAGTGTTTAAACACACCTGAGCACCAGTTCTGCTGCTGTCCCAGCCCTACAGGACCGCTTTGACATCTCAGGCTCAGCAGAGCAGCTTCCCAAAGGAATTCCCTCGCCCAGGAGCAGCAGTGACTCCCAGCACTCCTGTCCAGAATCTGGACTGGGGCTTGCACTTTGTTTTTTTGAGGGGGTTGTTTTTTCCTTCCTTTCTTTTTTTCCCCCCACAGTAATGTTGCAGGTAGGGTTTTTTTTTTTGCTGGGTTTTTTGTTGGGTTTTTTGTTTTTTGGTTTTTTTTTCGGTGCAGGAGTTTGGAATTGGTCGGGGATCGCTCGCCGAGAAAATTTTTGGTTCTTACTGTGCATAATTAATTGCTGATTTGCATAATTGCTAGTTTCCATCAGAAAGCAGCAGATGGTAGTGTCCAAGGAAAACCCCAGTTCTAGGAATCTTCTCTGCAGCAGGAGGGACAGGGAGGGTTAAAGTAACTCATACCTCTGAGATATTAAAAAAAAAAGCAGGTGACCCTTCCCTTACTCCACATCTCAGGACCCCAAAGGCCAAAACAGCTGTAGCTGGTGCACTGTGGGAGGGCTGATGTCACGGCAAAGAGCATTTAGGACACCCTGACAGGAACCACAGGCATGGGCTCATCTATGAACTAAGAAATACAAAGGTTTAAGAGCCAGAATTTGACCCAGAGCTACCTTTTTTCTTCTTTTTTTTATTTTTTTTTTTTTTGAAACCCACCAGCAGAAACACGGACTTGTTATCAAGAATTACAAAATACAAACACCTCAGATTCCCCTTGGAGCACTACAACAAGTAGGTTAAATAGAAATTTCTTAGGAAACCAGTTGCATGCAGCCTGTTTTTTACAGAGTGCTCCCACGGAGCCTGAGAAGGTAAAAGAGCCCAATTTTGGGGAAGCACAAACCTTTGCTGGCCATAATGCCGTGGAAATAACCAGGGCTCACACATCTGCCTGAACACACTCAATGAATCCCAGCCTCAAATAAAGCCTGTTTTGCTTTCTAACAAGGCTCTGCACAGCAGGCAAGCCCTGGCTAATGCAGCCCCACTATCCAGTGGCCCTTTGCCCTCACCAAATGCTGCCCAGGATGCAGACACTGCTCCCTGCACCTGCCACAGCCACACAGCCAGGAAAAGACAGGAGACTCCCCTGAGGATGGGGCAGCAACCTGCTGTCACACTGCCTGGGGCAGGGACAGCGCTCCAGAGCTGGATCTGCCTCCCCAAGGGGCAGGTTTGGAGTCTGAGGGATCCATTCACCCACAGCAGAACCAGAACTGGTGTTCTTTGGGACAGGAAAAAGGTGTCTGTGATACGATGAAAAAAACCACAGCAGAGCAGGGAAAAAGGAGCAGCACAGCCCAGAGCTGGGGTCACCTCAGTGCTGTCTCTGTTCCTGCTGTTCTGAGCACACGATTTCACTCCTCTCTCCATGTCTGGCTCAGACAGGAGGTTTCCCACGTCCCTCTCCAGCTCTCTCCATGCACAGCCCTCACTTTAACACAAAGCACTGGTCAGAAATCACACACCACGTGTAGTTTTAGGGCCCCCACCAAGAGGCTTGTGATTCAGAGATGAAGTAGGACCGATAGAGTCCAACACAAATCCAGACCTGGAAGCTGACAAGACAATATCCCAAGGGAATTCACAACTTCCTCCTGCCCTGCCCTTCTCCAGCACCAGCCTTGGCTTTCCAGACAGCTCCCTTCTCCCTCTCACACCTCTCCTGACAGCACATCCAGCTCTCAGCAGCCTCAGCCCCCCTGCTTTTCCCTCCTCCCAGATCCAGCTCCAAGGTCAGCTCTCTCCAGCTGTCACAACAGCTCAGGGTCTCCGAGCACGCAGGATGATTCCACTGACAACTGGGTCACCTCTCCCACCACCTGCAGGGAGCTGCTCAGCCAGACAGACGTGGCTTCCACATTTGCCTCCAGCGAGGCACAGGATCCCCATCACTCACTCGGGCACGGCAGAGGGGAAGGTGCAGCTGCTGCAGCGCCATCAGCGATCCAGGGAGCAGCAGAGCAGTGACCCTGCAGGTTTAGAACAGCCCCCAGACACTGCTGGACCTGCTTACTGGGCTGTGCAAAGACCTGTCCCCCCACCAGGAAAGGCACAGCTGAGCTGGCTTAGCCCGGGATTAAATGCACACTCTGCAATTAGTGGTACAGCCAGCTCCTTCCAGCGCTCACAGCCCCACCTGCAGGGAATCTAGGGATGGAGAAACCTGCTCTGGTCACAGGGAAACAGGCTCAAATCTAACCAAATCCACCCAAATCCTAAACATTCAGAGATGCAGAACTCACTCTCCTGTGGCATTATTTTTTTTTAGTGCACTCCTGGCCACAGACAGACACACATTTCTGCCTCGCTGCTGGATGGCATTCGAGCAGCCCTCCTCGCTCTGGGTGGAATTTTAACCCAGCTTCCCTGATGGAAAGCACAGAGAGGAAAATGTGGTTTGACTAGACTTGTTAAAAAAATAAAAATACACATTTCTGCCTTATTTTTAGCATCTGAGGGCTTTTTTCCTCTCTGCTGTTCAAAGAGCAAGAGACGGGCAGAAGAACCCAAAAAGCTGCCAGGAATCACAAGGGAAATCACAGGGAAAACCTGAGAAGGAGCAGTTCAACTCAATACACACGTTTTGTGTAGAAACAGCAAGTTGTCCTTACACACAGCTCCCGTGCAGAAATGGAGGGACACACCTGCAGCCCAAATCCTGCAAGGATTTCCCAACTCCACCGCTCCCAGGGCACACCCAGCAGAGCAAGAATCACTCCAGCTCACGGGAGGCAGTGGGGGCAGCTCTAGGAAGATCTCAGCTGAACAATAAAACTCCAATCTGCCTGAAGAATCCCGTTTAATTTTGCCTCCTGTCTTGCACCCTCATTTACAGACAATTCACAAGTCTGGCTGCACTACAGATATTTTCAGATGAGCTCCAGCCCATCCCCAGCCCGTTCTTGCAATGTGCTTTCCCCAAGACACACCAGTAAACCTCAGCTCTTAAAAAACAGCAACCAATTTCTGAGCCATAACAGCACATGGGTGTTCTGCAATAAAACTTCTCTTAAACCTTAGTTTCGAGCCTATTAGTAGACCCAAAAATTAACAGCCCCTCTGAGACACACGCTGTAATTTGTGTGTCCTCTACAAACCACCTCTACATTCTAAGCATCAGCGTTTTCTTAGCACAAGGAGTGATCTGTAATTAAAAAAAACCCTTCTGATATTGTCACCTGTTACACAGCAAGGCCCAAAGAAAGCAAAATGCTCCCTCCTGGTTGAAAAAAATCCAGCAATCTGCACAGGTTGTTAGAGAATCCAAAATAGTTCCAGCTGCTTTAGCAGTACAGTTTCCATAGGTTTTAAAAGGAGTCTGAGGTGTTTAAGGCTTTGTCATGCAGTCTGTTAAACCACATTTAAATCTTCACGTGGGCTGATGAAGGTCTTCACTGTAAAATTACAAACACTCCACAGCAAGGCCACCACTTACAGCATTTTTAACAACATCAACAGCAAAACCAGAGAGAATCTGCACCCACCTTTTCTTCCAAGGGCTTCCTGGGCAGCTCTGAAGATCCTCAGGCTTCTTGCCTTCCCTGTCTGCTCCTTTCCCAAGTTCTTGAGAACCTGGTTAAGGGCTGCCAGTGCTGCTTTTCACACAGCTGGGCAATCAGCCCCCCAACAGACCTATCTATCTCCCTGCTCAGGGCTCAGCTTTTCCCCTGGCACCAACTCGCACCCAACAGCCTGCAAACCACGGGTTTGTGTTGTGCAAGATCCATGTTTAATACATTTTTAACACACATCAGCCTCCTAGAGAAGAAATTTCGCCTTTACTTAGTAAGGAACTGATTCTTTGGGGTGTGCTAGGAAAAGGAGCTGTGAGATCCCAAAGAAAAAGTAAAGGCATTAAAGTAAATGTCAAGCAGCTGCTGTTAGTAATTAGAACACAGCTGTGCATCAGCTCTGGGTAATTCTGTTCCCAGCCTTGACAGCATGAAGGGAATACATCAGGTTTGGGACAAGGACATCCTATGGCAAAGGGTTTGGAGCCTGACGTGCAGGAGACCCAGGGTGCTGCAGTGCCCTGCCCACACTCTGCAGCCACACCTGATAAAATAACTTTCATACAGTATCTCCTGGCAGTGTCACTGTTCTCCCCATAATAAAAACACTTCAAAAATGTCCCTTAAGGCTGCTGCTGCTTCTCCCCAGCTCTCATCCTCCAAAAGAAAGCCTGTTGATCTAAGGGAAAACAGTACTTCTTAAGTACACCCCCAGCATTTGCAAATTCAAGTTCATTGCTTAGCTTTAAAGTCATTTCTTCCTCTTCTGCTTTAGATCTTTAGTCTTCTTAAGTTTCTTCAGTTGCTTGGGTCCTCTCACTGTTTCTAATTTTCTTTTCTTCTCACTGGGAAGCAGAAACAAAATCACTGTTTAAAATAAACTAGATTGCATTTCAGCTGGGATTTTTTTTCCCTTAATTTTTCTAAAAATTTTTTCTAATTTTTTTTTTCTTCCAACACAGAAATGTGGTTGGCAGAAAATACTTCCAATTTCTTGGGTCATTTAAAGTTGGCATTGGGAAAAAGCACAATCAAGAGCCCAACTTAAGATTTTCCAGTGTCCTCAGCCTGACTTGAGATTGCCCCCAGTGTCCTAACCCAAACCAAATCCCAAATGAGACTGATTTTTAGCTCTTGTCATTGCTTTTCAAGCAGTGTGTCCTAAAGGCAATTCAAGTCAGGCATCTGGAATGTGGAGTGCCCAGGAAAAAAATTACCACTGATGGTTTTAAAGCATAAAATTCAGTTCCTGCACTGGATTCTGATTAGAGCAAAGGGGACAGAGCTCTGATCTTTAAAAGCACTGGCAAGACTCTCTCATTCCTGGAAGGCTTCTGGAAACTCCCAGCATTCATGAAAAAAAAAAAAAAAACAACAAACCAACCAAGAAAGGGTGGAATTGAGATCACGTAATTACTGGAGCTGTCAGGCACCCCAGGAAGGGGAAATGAGCAGAAAGGCAAGTCTCAACTATAAATCCCCAAGGGAAAAATGAGGAAAGACTCCATGCTGGGCAAGACAGCAGAAAGAAGATGGATGAAAAGGAAGGAATTGCAGAAATGCAGATATTTTGCAGGCTTAAGCTCACACTTGAAAGAATTATTCTTTCCTGAATTTACATTTTCTCCAGTGGCACCTCCCCAGCCTCCCAACCAGTGTGAGTTCCCAAAGCAAACAGGACAGTCAGGTGGAAAGAGGAGAGAAAAGGGAGAAATAAGAGCAAGTTCTGAGTGTGATCAGGATCAAGACTTAACCAGATCATCAGAAAAAAGTCAGAATTAGCAAACAAGTTACCTGAGGAGAGGACTAAGAGCAACACAGAACCACTGGGTACCAGAGCTCGCCGGTGCTCACACCCTGATTTCTCCAGGAAAACTGGGAATCTTTTAAGGATCAATTTATCTGCATTTAACTCTTTTGGGAAGTGTTATAATAAAGGCAGCAGGAAGGACCAGAGAGATCTCAGGGGGGTATTTCAGCTTCCCTAACCTTTTCACGCTGACCACGGACGCGTTTTGTCCCGCTTTGCTCAGCACCTCGTTCCACTCTTCATCATCCCCCCGGATAATGTACCTGAGGGGGAAAGGGAAAGGAACATTCAGGTCAAATCGTTGGCACAAAGTGAGGAAAAATAAGGGGATTGTGCTGTCAGGCACACACAGCTCTGCAAACAAAGCTCAGGACTGGGAAACACACCCAGAGCCAGGCTGGCAGTGCCTGCACGGTACAGCTTGTCTGGATCAACCTGGGAAAAAACAAAGACCTGCAGCTCTTCTTTTGAAAAGGGGAATTAAAACAACTGCCACTCAAATGAGCTCATGTTCTGTGGCCCTTGCCTGGGTGTTCAAGTGCCCTGGAAATTACACAGAGATTTAACCAGGCAGGCAAAGCAATCGTGGAGGGAAATGGAGTGGGTGCTCTCCATCTCAAACTCTGGGGGATTTAGAATAGAGGAGGCTCTGTTCATACAGGGCTGAACAATGCTGGGCAAAGCCTTTTCAAATCAAACAGCTCTGTCTCTTCTATTGGTTTTCCATAACCTGTATTGAAAAGTGTTCAGAATGGATTTTTGTCTCTCTCTTCTCACGGAGGAGAACAGCAATCTATTTCTGGGTGAGGAAACAAGAAAAGGGAGCGTGGTCCAAAATGACAAACAGGTATGTAACAATGCTAAAAAATGGAATTAAAACTTTTAAAACATTCTGGTTATATTATTTTCCCTGTGTGACTGACTTGCAAGTCACTTCAAATCGCTTCCATTCTTATCCTTTCTTCAAACAAGACAAACAAAGATCCAAAGAATCTTTTTATTCCTTTTCTCTGAACAGAGATCCATCTAAAGCCAAACCAGATAACTTTCCTGGGATGTCAGTAAACAGGATTTAAGAGACAAAAAGTGGGATGAGAGAGAAGGGAGAGAATCAGTGGCATGTGTAACTCCTCTTGGTCCAGGAAGAGAGAAATCTGCTGACACACTGAGTAAAGGAAGCTCTGGTTGGTGTTTGTTTGGGGGGGGAGGGGGGTTATTGTTTGTTTGGTTTGGTTTTGCTGTTGTTGTTAAAGAAGAGACCATTAAAATTCGCCAGGTACTGTTTTCCCTGGAGTTGCACACCCAGGACAGCAGCCACCAGGACCTGGGGATCCTGGTTTGAGGAAAACAACGACTATTTCTAGGAGGACAGGAAACTGTAAAATTAGAAACAGTCCTCAGCCAGGCAGCTTGTTTTATCAGCCCAGAATTTAGAACTAAATACCTTATCTATGTAGAATACAAGATCAAGATCAAGGCTGACAGACACAGTAAGAGTTCCTGCCGTGAATAATTTACCATTTACGTGACACAGGCACACAGGACTCCAAAAGTTTTTCTCAGCAGAGCAGCACATTCTTATGTCACCTGGGTAGGACTGTCTTACCCACTGCTAATTCTCATTTACTGAGGGTTGGCAACCACAGCCTTGTGCACAAATCCCAGCAAGGCCCACGAGTGTCCTGGCATCCAACTGGATATCAGAGACTCATACAGATGAATTCTTACTGTGTAAGGTCCATTTCCTTCAGCTTCATCACCTCTTGCTTGTGTTTTTCTTGGAATTCCTTTGCAGCTTCCTCCTACAACAGGACAGCACAGCAGATGCAATAAGTCCTAAGTGCAAAAGCAATGGGAGGAAAATGCCTTTCCCCCTGAGAAAGGAATATATCCCTTATAAACAAACACCAGAAAAGCTTCTGTTATGTAATTCTTTATGTTTACATTATTTACGTAATGTTTACATTATTTCCTTACATATAATTGTAGTTTTCTGTGAAAAATCCACACTGTAGCTTAACAAAGCACTACTCTACAAGCACATAATGCAAACCTGTCAGGTTTTAGCTACCAGAAAATGACAGACAGGACGTGGGATTCTTTCCATCCAAGAAAATTTAGATTACCATGCTCCTACACTCAAGGGAACTCCATGAAGTGTTTGTATATACATCAAGAAGAAAGTTTGTAATTACCAAATCATCATTTAAGGATTTCAGCGTTGGCTCCATCACAACATCCTTTGTTGCTGCCATTTGCTCCTCCACAGCTTTTTCCTGGACTGTGTTGAACAGCTGAAAATGAAGTGACCCAACACATGTAAAGACAGCTTTTATAAAAAGCATCAATCTACAACCAGTCAGCACTCAATGTCACGTAAATTTAGAGAACTCACAGTTTACAACGTGCTTAATTTAATTAAGCATCATTTATCACCTCTACAATGACAAACGCCAGGCTGCAGAGGCTTTGCTATGTATCCTGAACCTTAGAAAGAAAGAAAAACAGAAAACCACATCCAAAACTTCCCAATTATTTCACTGCACTTCAAGCCTACCTATTCATTTTTTTTTTTCCAAGAAAAGCTGAGATGCCACCAAGGCAGTGAACAGCGTTAAACAGAGCAGGCTCAGCTGGCAACACGGATTTTATGCTCAGCGTTTTTGTCAGGACATTTCAACATTCAAAACCATAGGGCAGGCACTGTTATTTGGGAAAACACTACATACAATCATGGAATGGTTTGGTTTGGAAGGGACCTTAAGGTCCCCGTTGCCAGGGGAGTTTGGATTTACAAATCAAGGCCACAAATACCTGGTTTTTCTACTGGGATTTTCCCACCTTACAAAGAAGTATACAGCCAATCACTGGGGACTTGTTTAAGATGCAATTCTGATTCAGCTTTCCATTAGTGCCATACTTTCTGTTAGCCCTGGAAATCCACTGTGGTCCCATAAAACCAAGCCAAAGCTGTACCTGCACTACTTTGCGGATGATCCTGTTGAAGAGGCCCATCAGCTGACTGCTGGGCAGTTCCACCTCCTTCTCCAGCTGCTCCAGGGATTTGTGCTGGAGGCCAATCCCTAGAAAAAGGGCCTGAGGAAATGAGACATTATAGAAGCTTGAAGAACAAATCCAAACACACATTTCCCACCACGCTCCCTGTGCCTTCCCAAGCCCTGGCCCTGTTCCAGCCACACCCACCGACTGTGCAGCAGAGAGGGAGATGTCCCCCATCTGGTTGAGGAAGAACAGCCTGGCGATGGTAGGAACCATGTCCATGATGAGGTGATAGTCCACCATGTTCCGGGAGTACATCTCCAACCTCTTCAGGTCGTAGGGGATGAAAAGGGACTCCAGCTCAGCTCGGCTGATGGCTGAGAGCACAAACACAGCCCAGGTGTTAAACAAAACACCCTCCTGACCGTTCCTCAGGGCTAAAGGTCAACACTTCATCTTTCCTGTTACTGGGAAGGGCCAAATGCCACCCCACACAACTCAGAATTCAGTAACTCTGCTACCCAGGCTGGTTAATCCAAGTCTTTTCAGGCAGACATACATCCATATGGAAAACATTGCAGCTGTCAAAACAGACCAGTATACCAACTTAAATATGCCAAAGACTGAAAACAGTGAAGGCTGAGAAACGTAATTTGCCCAGTCTTTAACTGCTTACACTGATTTTGCTGTAAAAGAGGTTTGTTCCCTGGCAGCAGCAACCAAAACTCCCTCACCAAAGAGACACCCAAAACCTGCCAGACACAGGTTCCCAAGTTCTCTCCTCTGTTAAGGATACTGAGAGAGCAGCAACTTGCTTTTGAGCCAGAAGGGGGTGTTGAAGTGTCTGGCCCCTTCTGTTACAGTGCCTGCTCTTAGAAGGAGCACCACATTCCAACTGCCAAACTCCTGATGACAATGCTCTTCCCAAGAAGCAAGCTGCCCTGTCTGCTGCTGTTCAAGGCTTCTCTTTTAGTTCTACACTGGATCTCGCAGGTGTCAGTCTCCATCTGTGCTCTGTCATTCATTCAGCTGTAACAGTCAGGAGCCCTCTAATTTGATGCTACTTAAATCTTAGATCAAGGTGGAAAAAAAACCACCCCAGAAAAAAAAAAAAAAACAGCAAAAAAGCCCACCACTACCTGTTTTCAGCGGCAGAAGATGCTATTTTAGCTTTTAATTAGAAACAGAAGCATTTTTCTGGATCACAGGAACACTGTGACCCAGGGTACTCACGTGGCTGTGGCTGCTGTTTGATATTTTTGTTCTGCAGAATATTCAGTGCCAGCGAGGGAGAGAATGTGCTGAACTGGTAGGAAAGCAGGGAAAGGAACCGCCTCCTAAAATCTACAGGACAGGATCAAACAATAAATTACCTCTGTGGACCTCCAGGATAAGGATCCCAGAGAATTCCTCTGGAGTTAGCAAGGTCAAAGTCACCTTTCCAGAAGGCAGTGAGCCAAGGCTCCTGATCAGAGTCCTCCTCATTCAGCATCTTCAGCATGATGCAGGAATGCTCCCCAGTCAGGTCATTCTGATAAATGAGATACAATTCTGTGATTCTGGGATGGATTTCCCACCATCCCCATGAACCTTCTGCACTCTGTGCTCAGCTGAGGAAGGCAAATTATCTTCTAAATCAGCAACAACGACAAATGTATCAGCTGCTACTGATCACCATTATCTGGTGGAAAATCTATGAACTGCTAGAATTTGGTAAATCTCGGGTATTTTACCAATAATCCACATTAATTTTAATTAATAATTAAAAAGCTGCACCTTTGCTCTGAATTTTAAAGTGAAAACTACTTAAGAGTCCCACATTCACAATCCTAAAAACTTTACTCCTTTAGTTAACTAGACAGGCTCAAGGAACCAAAACTGAACATAAACCAAACCCTAAAAGCAGCCTCAGAAAACATTCCTATCCCAATCACATCTCACAGAAAGATGCCCAGGGATTTCAGCTGGGCTGGGTTTTCCCTCAGAAACAGCGTGGTACTTACTGGTGTCTGCCTCAAATAAACTGGCACAAATCCAGCCCGTTTCCAAAACCTGGGAGAGGAGAAAACACTGAGAATTACAGAGTTGTTGGCTGTACAGGAATACTTGTGGTTAAATGCAATTTATCCACTGTACAAGGACAACTGGTGAGCCTCTGGAACGCCCCACCAAGCGGTGAAATGAATACTGAAAGCAGTAACAACAATCAAACTGAGGTGCTGCCTCAAAGGAGTGACAAATTATGACCACAACATCAAAAAAATCAACAAACTTGCAAAGACAGACATGATACCAGAGTTACTGTATTTCCCATGCTGCCAGGACCTCCTTTAAAAAACAGGCAGGTGAGCTTTGGACCAGTAATACTGCTGCAAAATGTGGAATATGTAAAAATTTCTTAAGAAAGGATGTTCTTTAGTGTCTGATCTTTCAAAGCCTAATCAACAAGAAGGGAGACTTTAATGACACACTTGATATCTACCAAACTCCTAAGGGATTTTACATAAAACTATGGAGCTAAAACTTGAGAAATATTAATAAATCCTTTACTGCAGCAGTAACTCAGCTCCTCCATGGTAAGTAAAGCAAGAAGCAGCTGCAGTTGCTGGTAAAAAACATTCACATTAGTCAGGAAACAAAAAACTAACTCTGAAGTCAGCAGGTCACAGGAATTAGTGTTTAACTTCTCCCTACTTATCACAGGCTGTCCTTACTTCTACATTCTGGAAAAATTGGGCAATTAAAGCTCTTTATTTGTTTAGAAGGCTCACAGAGACAACTAAGAAGGGAATGGGTTTGCCTTCAGAAGGAGTTTGAGGAGAAACTACCCAGAATGATGCACTTAAGACCTTTATGTGGTGTACAATAGGACGGATCCTACAGGAGAAGCTGGCTTGGAGCTGTTCCACTTTCAGAAACTGAGGTAAAGAGAATATCCAAGGGCTAAGGCATCTGCACCCAAATTATATATATTATTATTTTTGTTATTTACATAGCTGTATTTTTGCACTGGATGTGACTAGGAAATAAAGTCTCACTTCAGCAGTCTCGGTGTTAGGCCGTAAGACACCCCGAGATAGTCCAGGTTCTCAGCTTGTCTCTCGCTCAGCTTGAGAAGCAAAGGAGGCAAATCTTTGCGAGGTGTCACCACCTCTTCTAACAAACCAACAGTCTGAAAAAGAGAGTGGAAACGGGTGAGCAGCAATCCTCACAGAAACCTGCAAATTAAAGCTCTTCCTCTGTATAAGAATTAAATTTCCCCCTTAGGGAAAGGAATCATTACGGAGACTTACAGTGAAAACTCCAATCCTAGCATGACAGAAAAGGAAAAACGTGCTCAGTTCCATACCTCACTGCTTACAGTCGCAATTTCTTTTGGCTTTTGAATTGTCTCTTCTTCCAGACACGGGAATTTGCCTTCATAGTACATCTGCAGCAAGGTGAGAGCTCTGCTGCCATAGCCCATCTGCGGAGCAGGAACAAACAGCGGTGTAAGCACAGAGATGGCTCCGGTTTTTAAAACAGAGCAGCAACATTCTCCCCTTAACACCCACTAACAACACTCAGACAACACTCAGTCGCTGCAAAAATGTCTTTTTTTTGTCATTGAGCAGCTCCCTGGAGAAGGAGATGACAGAGAAGTACTTTACCCCCTGATAGTCCGGGTGAACCGCAATGCGAACAACGCGCCCGCCAGAGAGGCCCCCGAAATCCGGGTCCTGGAACTGCACAGCAGACAGAAAAGTCAGTTTAAAGAACACAGATGGGCGCTCTGGGAACAAGAAATGGTGCTGAAAATATAGCTGGGGCGAGGACACAGCCAAACTCCTCACCTGCTCTGAAATGGTCCAGGGGATGAGGTCACCAGAGGCTTTCTTTCCCCTCGACAGGCTGTTCATGATGGACTGGCGCGAGATCTCTCCCTCCATGCACACCTGCCAAGGAAGGCAAAAACCATTAACAGAAAAAAATGTCTTCTCCTACAGCCACTCAACTGCATCAGAATCCAAGTTTATATTCAGTTGCTCTCTCACCTGAACAACAGCAAGTACTTCTGGTAATGAATTCTGAGTCGGTGGAACGGGTGGCAAAAGGCAAAAAAGATGGTGGGCAGGTGCATCAGAGAGCATCTGGAGGTCATTGGGCGAGTTCTAGTGGGTAAAAAGATATCACAGAGTTGAAAAAGCATTCTGAGAACCATTGAATATCCTGAGTTGGAAGGGACTCACAAGAATCATCGAGTCCAGTTCCTGGTCCTGCACAGGACAACCCCAAGAATCACATCATGTGTCTGAGGGTGTTGTCCAAATGCTTATTCCATGAGAAGGGCTCCAAAGTCCAGTGTAATGTTAGCAGCTGACTTCTAAACAATCCTCCATTTTCTGAATGTAGGGATATGAAGAAACCTGGAAGTAGTGCAGTGCTGATGGAGATCATCTCAGGCCAGCTCATGGCTGTCACACTACCAGGCAGCATCTGCTTTTCTCAAGTGAAACCTTTTGCTCTAATATGTATGAAACTGAATTTTCTATTTTGTATAGCTCCTTGCCTCTTTAATTACCAAATCCTAATTTTTGTTTTGAGCCTCAGATTTTTAATACTCAGGACTTCACCCCTCACATTTAACAGTCACCCACAGTCTTGAAACCTTGAGATGAATTATTCCTCTTTTCAGCAGTACAGAGGTGCTACTCTTTTGGTTAACCTGAGGCTCCTACCACACAGTAAAGAGAACTGCAAAAGAGGTTCATCACTGACAAGCTTCTGGACTCATCTAGAACTGAGCCTCCAGAACTTCTCAAGACAAAAATATTCCAGTAAATGCAGTATGTTCAGCCAAGACCAAAGCAACAGAAGCTGTTCAGAAATGTCAAAGGGAACAGTTCAATCAGGTCAGCACAACAAGCACTGCTCCCCCCACAAAATCCCCCAGCTGAAATTCCGACAGAAGAAGCACAAGCTCTACCTTGTAGTGCGAAGCCACATAGAGGGCCATCAGTCTCTGCAGAAAAACTTCGGATGCTCTGTGGTAACAGAAGAGTGTGTCTCTATTCACGTAGTATCTGAGCACAGGGGTTAAGGAAACAACCTCCTTGGGAACAGGGAGAAAGCTTCTGGGTTTATTTTATATAAATATATATATATATATATATATGTGCTGGCTGGTGCTCCTTATCTACAAGAATGAGTGACACTGGGCAGTGTTTGCAGCTTTCACACCCTTCACCTGCAAAGCCAAAGCTTTTATAACTCCAACAAGCACTCCCCTTCATGCAACCCTTTTTTAGGATTATCTCTGGAGTAAATCTGGAGCTGGGTCGTGTCCCATTAAAACACACACCACCAGTGCCATGAGGCAGTGGTGAGAGCTCAACTCCAGAAGTGTGGTCTTAATAAAAAGATGATATGCTAAAATTATCACATTAGCCAGAAAACCAACTATTAATGAGCTTAAAAAAGCCTCCTTCACCAGAAAGCCATTTATTTTGAGCAGGGCAGAACATGTGACTAAGGATACAGGTCACAAGTCTCGGGCAGTGGGCAGCCAGAGATGATCCTGGTGATGTTGAGACAGTCCAGACACAGCAGGTCATTGAGCCACTTCTCCACCGGGTCCCCGGGGGCGTATCTGATGGACTCGTGGAGGGAGATCTCGTGTAAGGTACGAGCTGCAAACAGATGGCAGAGAACGTGGAGAGCTGGGAGCTACAGCTGGCAAAGAATCCAGTAGGATCTGCGTCCTTCGAAGGGCTCCCAGATTAGAAGATTATTAATTGTGTAGCTTTCATCCCTTGAAAGCTCTTCATCTGAAACTCATGAGGGAAGACACAGAGGAGAGTTCCTGCATTTTCTGCTTTCCCCCAGCTGCCAAGCACATGGATCCAGGGGATGCCCACAGGGTATGGTCACCCAGCCAGCCCAGCAGTGCCTACCTGAGGTGAGCCTGGCGGTGGCCGTGGCTTTGTTCTCCGCTGTCAGGGTCCCCTGGCTCTGGGCACTCTGCTGCCGCAGCTGCTGGATCAGCTTCAGCGACAGCGAGCGGCCCGTGCCCTCGTACCTGCAGAGCAGCACACAACATCCTGAGGCAAAGAACCAGACTGATCCTGATCCACAGGGAAGCTCCAGCACAGACCACCCAGAGCCATGTGCCGCTCTGGGGACTGCCAGCGCCCCAACCATCTGTGAGAATCGCTGCCTTCTGATGTTCTTGAGCGTGCAGGACCCTGCCACTTCATTAGCCTTGCCAAAGTGGGAGGAAAACGCCCTTCTTCCCTCTCTAACTGCAGGATCCTGCTCATATATCTGCTCCTTGTAGCAGAGCAGAGAGGTGCCAGTCCACAGTGGAAGCAGCAGGTACTGACTCTTGTTGTTTTAAGGAGCATTTCTACAACAAATCGAGATTAGCACGACCTGACCTAACAGTGTGTAATAAAACAAGGACTGCAGATAATAACCCACTGTCACAGCTGCTTCCCCAGGCACACAGCTGCTGCTCAAGCCTTACCCATTGATTGTAGAGGCCATGAAAACCAGGTAAGGGCCCAGCAGGTTCTTCACCAGGGGCAGGGGAATGGCAGCAGCTTCATCAATCACAACCAGCTCAGCCTGCCCCAGCTTCACCGAGTCAGCAGGGTGGATGTACTGCGAGGAAAGGGAGGATACTGTCACTGCCAACAGCAGCATCCCCTCTCTGGGAAACATCAGAGCTGGTAAAGCTGGAGCCCTGACAAGCTGTTTGTTGCGCTTGTTCCCCACAGCCACCAAGGCAGACACTGAGACATGGAAAAAACCCAGTCAGGACAGGGTTTATGTCACCCTAGTAAGGACTGAGTAATTTATTTAGCACATTTCCACACAAATTTATCTGCAGAGATGATGAAAACAGAGGAAATCTAATCACTAAAAACACGTGCTCTTCCTTCACCCGTTCCTTTCACCCTTCTTTGCTTCTATTTCAGCTCCCACAAGGGACCTTTGTCATCTCTAAGTTATTCCCAGAAAGAAAGCAAGCATTTCATGAGAGTCACTCACCCAGAGGTTTTGCAAAACCCTTTAGGACACTTACACTTACACAATCCCATAAAATGAACATACCTAAAGTCAAAACAATTACAGAGCTGGAAAAACCAAGCTAGGAATAAAAAGCAGAAAGGCAAGAGGTGAGGTACCTGGATGGTCTGTCTGTGCTCCTTGAACACATTCACTCTGACCACTGCCTTGTTAAACTCTGGATTTAAAGACTGAACAATCTCATAGTCCAGATGTTCCTGAAAGAAAACACCGTTAAAGCCAAGATCTAAGAAAAATATCATTTACCATCACCATCAAAATAAGCTCACTGAGAGGAGACTGTTCTGTCACACTCCAGTTAAAAACTCTTATAAAAGGTTCAGAGGCTTGAGAATGGAGAAATTATTTACTAATGTTATCAACTGCTTCACAGAGAAACAGACTTACTGTACTTGGAAAAGGAAACATAACTCTCCTATCACTCATTTTTTGCAGAACATTAGAAAAAAAAGCTGGTAGTAAATATAAGTTAAAAAAAATCACAGATAAGATGCAAAATTTCTTGAAGAGGAACACTGCGAAGATACTGTAAAACACTCTGCTCCCCTTACCTGATACTGCAGGGCATCAAAGCCTTTGAATATGAACTCAAAGAGCGTATGAAGGTTATCAGGGCTTGGGGATGTGACGAAGATGTTGGAGTAACTGCAGAGAAAAATAAAAACAAGAGTTTAACTATTTTCCCAACAAATTTTAAATATAAATACTAAACAGGATGTTCCAAGGGGTTGATTTTACCTAATAAACAAAATAAAGCAGATTTCTTGCAGACACTGATCTCAGCTTATGTGTGATCATTTTGAGTTTTAAAGACTGTGATTTTCTCATCACTATTTTTTTTTTTAATGAATGGCTGCAGATAAAGCCTGGGAGATTGAAGGGGATCCCTCACCCAAAAGCTACAGCTCCAGCAATAGCCAGGCCCAAGGCAGCAGATTTGCCCCGTCCCCTGGCTGCTGTCAGAGCCACCGTGCTGCGCAGAGTCTTCTCCGAAATGGCTTCGATGAACTTCAGCACTGCTTTTGCCTGACCAGAAAACGTAAAATAAACAGAGATCAGCTGGGTTTAAACTGCATTACTTGGAATTAAACTGTGTAACTGGTTTTTACTGGCACGAATGGCAATTCCTGCCCCGTTGCTGTGCCCTGGCAAGCACAGAGCGTTTCGGATTTCAGCCCCACACCAACCTGATCCAGGGTTTTACAGCCATCCACCAGCACCCCCACGGGCTGGGTGTCCTGCAAACTCTCCTTCAGCTCCCTCAGCTCCAGGTCCTGGGGCCGGAGTCTGTCTTCCTACAAGCACAGGATTGACCAGAACAGGGTAAGTCAAGGGCACTTCAGCACAGTGATACCTTTGCAAGGTCTTCTGTCAGGCAGAAAAACAGCTCTGAAAGAAAATGTTACCCCAAGAGGAATATAATCCCTAAAAACACAGAGATTTATATGGACAGATATTTAACAGTCCAATTTTCAGGCATCTTCAGGAGAATGGTGACACGGAGAGATGGATCCTGGCTTCCCCAAGCTTGGAGGAAAAAAGGAAAGGATTTTTCAGTAGATGTAAGAAGACGAGACTTTAATTAACTTTTAATTAACTTTTCAGTCTTCATCAGGCTGTACCTAAACTGTATGATCTTTGTCATACTTGTGCAGATTGCCATGTAGGGGGAAAAACTACTGCAGCAGCAACAGATCTGTTTTCAAACCACTAGCAAGATTTTCAAAGCCACAAACACAGCCAACTTTAGATGGGAATGAATTCTGATTCTCCTTATTGTCACTCAGAATTCCAAAGGCACTACTTTACCCATCCAACAGAGAAGCATTTGTGCTTCTGTCAGTATTGTTCTAATGATATTGTTCTGGGTTTTAACATTTATAATCAGTGGCCTATTGAAATGTTTTTACATCTCTGACAGAGCCCATGTTGGTATTTCTTGGGCCACACAACACAGTTCAAAAGCTGAAAGATTTCTGCTTAAAACTGATTCCATTTTACTTTAGTTTTACACCTGAAAACGATAAAAGGATACATTTCTATGGATTATATCCTGGGAATGTTTCCCGAGATTCAGAAATTCAAAATTCAGAAATTGAAACCACCAGTTTCCAGTTGCATCCTAAGCTTGTAACACGGTAATTTCTAAAGTGTTTTCCCACTCCTCAACTGTCAAAAAGTCTTTTTATTTGTCTCATCCCAACTGTCCATCAGCCTGATATTTCTCTGTACTTCTCAAACAGCAATCACAATTAAGCCTCGCCTCACAAGGAAAACAGCAACACAAGAAAGTCAAGGAATATGAGCAACCACAAAAAAAAAAAAAACAAACCCACAACAAAAATAAACCACCTGTGACAATAAAAAAAAGCAAGAGGGAAAGAAAGTGTATCTCCCAGTGCTCCCAGGTGTCATTTTTGTAGAACACTCCACTTCCTCTCTGGAAGGTCATTATATTTGCTATGAATCAGGGTGAAAGGGAAAATTCTTCCTCTTTAAATCTTAAACACACCCTGGGCCAGCTCGAGACTGGCTCATCCCCAGGGGAAGGGGGAACATCCCTCACTGACCTGGGACTGTGGGGGGACAGGAGTGATGTTTGCAGCGTGGCTGGAGATGGGCAGGATGTTCAGCTGGTCATCGATCACCAGGCAGTTCTTGCAGGAGGCCAGAGACAGGATGAACCTGAACAGGAAAGCAGAGGCAGCCCAGTGAAAACTCCACTCGTTGGTAGTTATTTCAAACTCTTTTCTAAACAAAGACAACTATAGGTACTGAATGCTGAATGTTCTTCGTGCTCCCAGACCCTTTCCCCGCTCTTAACTCACCTCTCATTAAACCTCCCCACCACGTCCTGGTGTGCCTCTGTCCTGTACCGAGAGTGAACATCCTGAAACAAGAGAAAAGCTCCCTCAGGAGAAGGGACAGCCCCCACAGTGACACCTGCACGGCTGGGACTCCTGTCACAATCATCTTTGCCACTCCTCTGGATCACAGCCTCCCTTTCCACCCACAGCACGCCCCAGACAGAACCCTGGTTCTGTTTGTTCTGGCACACCCACCTTTTCCAAATACTTGTTAAAAATGTACTTTTATTTATCCCAGCCTGACTCGAAGTTCAGCTCTGCCAGATTTTATCACACACCTCGGGGATGCAAAGAAATAATATTCTCTCCCTTCAATTCACCCACTGCTTACTAACAGAAACAGCTCCTGCTCTAGGTGTAACTATACTCAGTGTGAACATAATTCCTATCTGGAAATGCATCATAAATAATAAATGCATTTAAAAAAAAGCAGCATAATAAATAAATAAATAAATAACGCTGATCTCACCAAGCAACGTCACAGGACACTGAAAAGACCTATTGTGTTTAACTTAAATTGCTGATAAACGGGCAGACAGAATAAATACTTCCAAAACTGTTGTGGAACTAAAGAGCACAGTTATTTTGTGAATGGCAGGTGTTTCTTCCTTGCAATACCTTCCTTCCCAGCAGCATCTCAAGGCAGAAATGCCTGAGCACGAGACATTCAGTCAGAGATGGATGAAGGAACAGAAAAGACCACAAAGGGAGATCAGAGCCCACAATAAAAGCAATGAACAACCACTTGGCATCATCACAGTGCAAAGGAAACAGACACATCATCATGCTGAACGTGCCATGGTCATTGTGTAGAGCTGCTTCAGGGAGTTCATGGTTCTCAGGAGAATCACCACCATCCCACCACCTTCCACTGTTTCCACAGTTCTGGCCAGCAGGTTTGGAGTCAGGGCTTCAAAATCCTAGGGAATAAACAACATTTCCAAGTTGCCTGGAGTTCCTCAGTCCTACTGGAAGGCACAGAAAACCTAAAAATATTATTAATTCACACTTCACATCAGCATTAACTAATGTCCTGTTAGAACTTCTTCCAACAAGGCCACCTGACCCTCACAGAACTTGTAAAATTGAAGTAACAAAGCAACAAATACTATTCCTGCAGCATTTAAATTAAGCACCACCAGAGCAATGTCCTTTCTGAGCCCAAAGCTGAAGCCCTCACCTGGAGGACACACATGCCAAAGGTGTTGCCGAGAATCTTGTGGGTCTCGTTGTAGTAGCAGTAGCGGATGTTGGTGGCTGCTATGAACAGCTCGAAGGGGTCATCATCCTTGATGTTTAACGTGCCACTCTTGATCTTCTTCTGGAGCTGCCTCATCCTCTTCTTCCTGTGGCTGCAGGACCAAATCACACAGAAGTTTTCTTGGAAAAAGGTTCAAGTCTCCCTGGAAGTCAGAGCCCATCCTGAATATTACTGAGTTTACACAGGTGAGGAATTCAAGTTTTGGCCTGTTGAGGTTCAAAAGTTGAGGGAGAGATTGGTCCAGGGTGACAGATTAGAGTTAGAGCTACAGAAAGAAACCAGAGGTACCAAGTGCTGATGCCAAGCGAATTGTGGAAGCCAAATTCAGTTCTGGATAAGGAAACACAGGAGGTTTCTCTTACCTGCTGAAGCCCAGCTCCTTTTTGTAACACCACAGGACGGAGGGCCTGGCCTTCACCGTGGCTTTGGACAGCATGTGATGCAGGATCACCACCTGCCAGGGCACAGAAACACTCATTAACAAAACCAAACAGCAAAATATCTGTCAATATTTGATTTTGTAGCTGTGTTTTCTACTGTGCAAAACAGGCTCCTGTGACAGGTCAGGGAGGTGGCCTCTGTTTTCCCACAGACCTGTGTGTCTGTGCCTTCTCCAGGGGTGCATGACAGGGATTTTCTGAGCTCTCTGCTTTGGCAGAACTGCTAAAAACTGCTCTGACAGAAGGCTAAACACAGTTAGCCTGGCTAAATTCCAGGCTAAATACAGTTCCTAGAATTTGTATCTTACTGTGGATTTTCCACAGCATATTTTAGTATTTCAAACTGAACAGAAGCAGACCTGGGATATGCCCTGACAGACCTTACCCATCCACCTGACCAGTAAATTAATGACAACTTTCTTGTACTGCCACCCGATCAACTCCTTATTTTCCAAGGTTTTTTGTAACGAGGTCATTTCATGTCCCCAGATCCTGGAAATAACTGAATTATCAGTTATCACAGAAGAGCAGCAGGGCCAGGGCAGGGATTGTCCCCCCTGTGCTGGGAGCTGGTAAGGCCACGACTCGAATTCCACGTCCAGTTGCGGGCTCCTCAATCCCAGAAGGACACTGAGGAGCTGCAGCACGTCCAGGAATGGGAAAGGAGCTGGGGAAGGGTCTGGAGCACCAGGAGCAGCTCCCTATGTCAGCCTGGAGAAAAGGAGGCTCAGGGGGGACCTTATTCCATCCAACTCCCTGCCAGGAGGGGGGAGCCGGGTGGGATGGGACTCTGCTCCCAGGGAACAGGGACAGGAGGAGAAGAAACGGCTTCAAGCTGTGCCAGGGGAGGTTTGGACTGGATATTAGGGAAAGCTTTTTCCTGACAAGGGTTGTTGGGCACTGGAACAGTGGGAGGTGGTGGAGGGATTTAAAATCCGTGTGGATGTGGCACTTGGGGACATTGGCTGCTGGTGGGCATGGCAGCGCTGGGGGAACGGATGGACTTTTGGAGGTCTTTCAGAGCCCAAACAATTCTGTGATTCTATAGCCTGACTTATCCTAAAACATCACGGGTTTGCCGTGCTGCTCTTCCCTCTCCCACACGAGCAACACAAGTCTGGTCTCCGAAATGAAGCGCTTTCTTCTACACAACGCTGCCCACTCGGTGCACAAAGCACGTTTTGAGCCCAAAACCATCACTCTGTCTCCCGGCAGGGCTGACCTTCAAAGTCAGGCCGGAATAAATAAAAGTATTGGTGGAAAAAGTACATTTTTTAAGAGGGGAAAAAAAGCTCCAGCCAGCCAGAAAAATGAAAGATACTTTCCCCCTAGTTTAAAGTAAATAAGCGAATAAATAAACAGACGAACAAACAAACAAACAAATACGATTTGCCCGTCCTGGCTCCTGCTGGCCAGAAAATTAGTATATTTCCCCCCAGTCTGAAGTAAGTAGGTAAATAAACAAATAGATACATCCGATTTGCCATCCCTGGGGTTTATTGGGAGCTTTCTCAGGCCGGTGTGTAAGAGCAGGGTCTCGAAAACCCGTTCCTAACCCCGCGCTGCGGGAGGGAGGAGCCGGTGCGGGGGTCAGGGAGCCCCGGGTGGGTGCCGGGGGTCAGGGAGCCCCGGGTGGGTGCCCCGTGCCGGTACCCCCGGGTGGGTGCCCGGTGCCGGTACCCCCGCGTGGGTGTTACCTGGTCCCTGCCGCGGTCTCCCACCAGCACCAGGAGGCTGCGCTGCCGCTCGGCCACGCCGTTCTCGATCAGCACGCGGATGCGGTTGTCCACCTTGCGGCGCTGCATGGCTGCGGTCCCTATCCCGGTCCCGCTCCCGGTCCCTATCCCGCTCCCTATCCCGATCCCTATCCCGATCCCGCTCCCGATCCCGCTCCCGGCTCTCCCAACGCACCACGCGGGCGCCACGTGGGGCAGCGCGCGGGCCCCGCCGGAGGCCCCCCGGGGCTGCCCGCGCCGTTCGCCTGCGCCGCGCGCGAGCACGAGCGCCTCTGCTTGTTTAATATTTAAAGCATCGCCGCTTTTAAGGCGATTTTAATTTTCAAGGCAATTTTCGCTGTTAAGGTGATTTTTTTTTTTTTTTCCCGCCCGGGAAAAGCCGCAGCGGAGCAGGGGAAGCGCGCGCGCTCCCAGCAGCCCTCCCGGCCCCAACCGCGGCTGGGTGGGTTGGTTTGTTTATTTATTTATTTATTTATTCCGGAGGGGTTTGTTTGTTTATTTATTCCGGAGGGGTTTGTTTATTTATTTACTCCGGAGGGTTCTGTGTCACCCGCCCTATAACGGGGACGGAACCGATCCCCCGTTCCTTGGAATCCCTCGCTCCGCAGGAATCTCGCTCCCAAACCCCAGAGAGCACCACCCTGAGTTTATAAAGACACTCCTCTTCCTCCCGCTGCGATTCTACACGAGCCGGACACTGAGCCTGGCTGGCTGTGGGGACTGGGGAGAGGAAAACCAAAATATATAGACACAGAAGAGGGCATCTGGACCCAGAGAAAACAAAACACACATATATAGAAACTAACAAAGCCTTAGGATACATAATTATCTGATACCACACCATGAACCCCCCCCAAAATGTTATTTTGCTCCTCAATAAAACCAGGTAGAGCTTAATAAAACCATCTCATTAATGTTTTCTATATAAAATCCCAAGCTGCAAAACTGTAGAGCTTCAACAAAAAAAAAAAAAAAAACCCAAACCAAAACCAACCAACCAACCAAACAAAAACCCCACCAATTTATCAACCTGACTTGAAATTTCAGTGAGTTTTCAGAAACACGACACTGATTCTCAAACTGACGGTAAAACTATTCCTAACCTTTCAATACCAAAGCTGAGCCGAGCTATTTGCATAGATGTATTTATTCTTAGCTTTTAATACTGCCAAAATTTGGGGTTTTTTTAACTTGAACATTTGAACAGTGAAGTATTTAAAACCAGGTAACATCGTAGGAAAATTTTCTTTAATACCACTGGATGTATTTTGGGGCTATTTGTTTTAAAATATAACAAAAGTATGATAAAGCTACTGAATTAATAATCATAAAGGCTGGAGAATAGTATCTTTTTTAGGTGAACCCAGATAGACCCCTCACTAAGACAAAATCACCAATGAAATGTAGCAAGACAACTCCTTAAGGTATAGGTACAAAATATTTGCTTGAAAGGACATAAAACATTTAAATAGATTTATTTTTCAAGTGTTTACATAAGCCATGGACCAATTGGTTTCCAACGTTGAGTTAAAGAACTGCAAAGACATATATACGGTTATGTTTAAGGCCATCAGAAAATTTAAACCTGACAAGAAACTAAAACTCTGAACACTTATTTCATATGGTAGAAGCATTACTAATTTATTCTAAAACCGGAGAGCTTAAAAAAAGGAAATACATTTTTCATTTCATAAAAACCTAATGGATAATGACTAAAATTCAGCTGGAGCCCAAAATTGCAGGTGTCCTTTGATCCACTATCGGAACACATTTTATAGCCATGAGAACTGAGCCAGTTACCCCCATGTCATTGTTTTATGGGCATTAAAAAGTGAGGGGAAACGGACGTGGCTTTTAAAAGTAAGAACTGCAGCGAGAGCAAACAATACATTTAACTCAGAACCAAATGTGGAGTTAGGCTGAAGTGTTCCTAACACGGTTCTTTTATGTGCTGTTCAGAGTGGCTTTAGGATGTGGATTTTGGGCAACAGATTTCCTTCCCTCCATTAAGGCTGAACCCAGAGAGCCACAAGTAATTTTAATAGCATTATATTCAAGAATTGAATTTTCAAAGGATTGAAAACTTGTCCCATCCACGTGGAAAGCAGATGGAATATCGTGGAAACACATTTCAGAAATTAAATCTAATTCACAGTGACAAAAACCTCAGCTCCAGCTACAAGTTTGTGTCTTCAAGCATCCATTTCCATCTTTGCAAACACTTTAACCTAAAAGTTTCACATAAACAAGAAAGATGACGAGTTTTTATCCAAGATGGGACCAGCAGCCTCATTAACTGGACTGGTTAATGAGAGTTCTTGTGTCCCCCATTGTATCCACAGGAGATTTGTTTTTCATCATACGAAATTCAACCACTTTTCAGTATCATTTATCATCTTTTCAGTATTTATTTACAGTTAAAACCTCTTCAGTAACTTCTCTCTCTCCAAAGTAGTCACTCAAATGCCATTTGGGGAAAGAAGGAAGCTCGATCAGTTCTCCAAAGCCCTGTAACATAATCAACCTGCCTCAGAAATAAGGTCAGCAGGACATTTTGAGAAGACACATTCAGGTCCCAAAGTTCTCTGAGAGTTTCAAATCCCAGCAGAATGCATCTATCTACTGGTTAAAAAACAAGAAGCCAACAATCCTCTTCCAGCTACTCTGATTGCTGAGATGCAAAAGGCAGTATCTTGGAAAGAAAACAGGAGTTAAGTGAAGTTCAGAATGCTCCACAGCAAAATTCCAAAGTTGTACAGTTTTCTTAAAATACGCAGGAACAACAGAAGAGAAATTCAGGACACTGGCCTCAAGTGTGAGACAACAGCTCTTTCTAAGTTTTTAAGTTGAAGGATGTCCAGGAAGGATCCGAGTTTCCCAAACACAGCAATAAAAGGTATAAACATCTGAAGTATTTGAGTGATTAACATTATTTACTCAAGAACCCTTGAATTACAGCCAAGCAGCAGCAAAAGGCTGAAGGCAGAGGTTTGTTCTCAAACACCCCCCACTGCACGTTATCCCAGCCCAGGTGACGAAGGCCCTGCCACAATGGAACTCTCAGGGCAGGTGTATATTCAAGAAGGCAGCCAGAATTAGGCTCCAATTCTCCCCAAAACACCAGTTCTTGGAAGAATCAGGTAAATCCACCAAGAAGGTGCAAGTGCTGTGTGCACCTGCAGGCTCAGCCCCAGCACTGTTCTCCCTCTGTCCAACACAGGATGAGTTTCCCCAGAGGATGAACAGCTCAGCCCAGGCTCTGCAATAGGAGCAGCCTTGAAATGCCGCCACTTTGCCTCAGGATTAACTTCTTGGAACAGTCTTGGTTCAAGATACCACCTTTTTCAAAGCAAACATACCTAGGAGTGCTCATGATCAGGATGGGACTCAGATCCACAGCCAAGCTACAGATTAGGGATAATTTGGAGCTCCCCTGAACAGGCCAGAAAAACAGCGAGTGGACCAACGTGCCACAGGGTGACCCCAGCAGAGCTTTCACTTTAGTTTATTACATGAGATTTTAGAAGAGCTCAGTGCAAATTCCCAGCCTGAACACCTCTCATGGACTTGTTCCTCCTCCCCTCTCCCAGCAACCAGCAGAGCAGCTGCTCTAAAGGCCATTCTCACACGTGAACAAGTTTACAAACCTCTCAGGAGGCCCCTCAACTACCTGATGTTCTACGTTGGAAAAAAACCCCAAACCAACCCCCCAAACTTTCAGTGGAATATTCTGATCCATTCAGGAATCCTTAATTCAATATGCTGCATGTTTACTGCCCAACTACAATCATTGGGTGTGCAATGGGAAAAGCTGAACAGCTTGTGTTCTACCAACCACTTGAGCAGGAAGCTGATGCACCAAAAAAAATAATTAAAGGAATTCACCGTTTTCCTACATTGGTTCGACATTAAAAGGTTTGTCTTTTTATTTGTTTCCAGTTAAAAAACAGTTGGGACTATTATCTCAGTAATAACCTCCTAAAAAAGACACAGAACAGCAACTTCTCCCGGGCTGCAGCTTTTGGATTGTGACACTGGTACGGAATGTTTTTAGGCCTTGACTCAAACTGCTGCTCCCAGACATCAGCACCGTTTCAGGATGCCTGGGGTGGAATATTGTCTTCACAAACTTATCACTTCCCGCTGCAAAACCATTTCTCATTTGTGCTCTTCACACAGGACATAGGAAAGCGAGATCACCACCTGTTTTGTCCGGAGTCCCAGGTTGTTCCACCGCGAAGTCAAAACATCTGACCGCGAGTTCTGAAAGTTCTGAGTGAAAACAACCTTGAGTTTTGTACAGAACAGTTAAACAACACGCAGCTGTTCCTGAATTTCACCTTTCCACAGGCAGGAATTATCTGATGAGCAATACTTAACATGAGAGCATATAGCACTTTTCTTCTTGCACGTGCTATAGAATGCGACAGAACTACCAACACCTCTATGGAGGCAGCATCAAAATATTCTCCCCGCTGCAGAGAGAGTGCATGTGCGCAGAAGGCAGGCACAAGTGATTTTTCCAAGGATTATACCACAAGGATGCAGTAAAACTTGAGTAAGACTTGGTATTTTCCAGCTCCTAGGCTTATGCCGTTCCTTTTATACATCGCTGCCTTGATGAAAAGGAAAAGTCCACAAAAATAAAGGTTTCTCAGAAGTCACAGCTAGTAGAGTAAAACCAGGAAAACAGGACGAGGGTTTACATCTAGTCAGGAAAAGGAGACTATCAGGGGGAAAAAAAAACCAAACACAAATAAAAAAACCCTTATGAAATGTCACCCCATCACATGGAATCTGTTTCAGTCGTTGAAAACCAGTGTTCCAGGATACAATTTTTATAAACATGTTTTATTTGTCTTGCTTATACCATTAGAACTGTAACTGCTGGCTGTCATTTCCCTTCAAAGGGGAAATCAACTCAAACACATACTGGTGCTTTTCAAAAGAGAGCAATTAAAAGGGCAGCAGCAGCGGGCATTTGAGATTTCTTCAAACCTTCAAGGCTGCAGGAAAGACAAAAGGACATGTGACCAAAAGTGTTATGATTATCCATTAGAGATTTCCATCAGTACCGGCATCAGTTATTCAGGTGATAATACAGCAAGGTCAAGTATTAGTGACAGACAATGTGCAA